TGAGGGAGATGAGGTTGAGGGAGAAAGGTTGTGATGAGGATGAGGGAGAAAGGTTATGAGGGAGATGAGGTTGAGGGAGAAAGGTTGTGATGAGGATGAGGGAGAAAGGTTGTGAGGGAGATGAGGTTGAGGGCGAGAGATTGTGGATGAGGATGATGAGAAAGGTTGTGATGATGATAAGGGCGAGAGGTTGTGAGGGAGATGGGGATGAGGGAGAAAGGTTGTGTTGATAAGGGCGAGAGTTTATGAGGGAGAAAGGTTGTGGTGAGGATGAGGGCGAGAGGTTATGAGGGAGATGAGGATGAGGGAGAAAGGTTGTGAGGATGAGGATGAGGGCGAGAAGTTATGTGGGAGATGAGGATGAGGGAGTAAGTTGTGACTCTTTCCCTATTTCTCATGTTGTTCCTTATTCACAACTTTCCCCCTTATTTTCTTCTCTCTTCTCCCTTTTCTGTTCCTGTTATTCCATTCCCGCTTTTTCTGTTTCTCTTCTTGTTCTCTCTTTTTCCTTTCCTCTTCCTGTTTCTCCCTCCTCTCCAATTTCTTCAAGCTTCTCCTTTTCCCTTTTCTCTTCCTGTTCCTCCCTTCTCCGCTTTCTCTTCTCGCTTTTCCATTTCTCATTCACTTTTCTCTTCCTGCTTCTAATTTCCCCTCTATCCTTCTTCTCTTCCCGTCTCTCTCCCTTCCTCCCCTTTATCTTCTCGCTTCATACTTCCTTTCTCCTTCCCGTTCCTCCCTCCTCCCATTTCTCTTCCTGTTCCTCCCTCCTCCATTTCTCTCTTGTTCCTCCCCTCCCTAACCCCTTCCTCCTCTCTTTTCTCTCCCTGTCGATCCTTTCTCCCTTTTTACTTCCTGTACCTACCTCCTCCCTTTTCTCTTCCTGTTCCTCCCTCCTCCTTTTTCTCCTCCTGTTCCTCCCTCCTCCCTTTTCTCCTCCTGTTCCTCCCTTCTCTATTTCTCTCCCTTCCTCCCCCTTTACCTTCTCGCGTCTCCCTTCCTCCCTCCTTTATCTTCTCGCGTCTGCCTTCCTCCCTCCTTTATCTTCTCGCGTCTCCCTTCCTCCTCCCTTCTCGCGTCTCCCTTCCTCCCTCCATTATCTTCTCGCGTCTGCCTTCCTCCCTCCTTTATCTTCTCGCGTCTCCCTTTCTCCCAGGTTTGGAAAGTACGTGCAGCCCCTGTGCCTCGTCCCCCCTGGCTGGAACTACCCGTCGTACCTGAATTGCACGGTGGCAGGCTGGGGCAGTCTCGGTCCTGAGCTGGGTGAGTTTGGGCAATTTCCTTTTCGTAATTTTTTTTGGATTTTTTTTTTGGGGGGGGAGGGGGGGGTTGGTTTGCTGTTTTCCTTTTCGTTATTTTTTGTATTTTGATTTGCTGTTTTCCTTTTGTTGATTTTTTGTATTTTGATTTGCTATTTTCCTTTTCGTTAATTTTTGGCTGTTGTGTTATTTGTTGTTGTGTAAAATGTCGCGGTTGTGTGATGATGTTTTAGGGTTTGTGTATGTATGTTAATTTTTTTTTGTTCTGTGATATTTTAAGGCTGATTTTTTTCTTTCTTTCTTTATTATTATTATTATTATTATTATTATTATTATTATTATTATTATTATTATTATTATTATTTATTATTATTATTATTATTATTATTATTATTATTATTATTATTGTTGTAAAAACAATATCGCGGTTGTAATGTTTTTTTGTATTATTATTGTGTCGTTCTGGTAAGAGTTATGGTGATATTTTTCTCTCACTCTTTTGCAAGTTTTCTGCATCCATGGCAACCAGTTAAAGCTCACTCCTGTAATGTTTTGCTCACTTTAACTTTTTATTGATGTATATTTTTTATTTCTCAAAAAAGTGGCATTTTGCTTATATTTACCTAAACTATTCCTTATATCCTTTTTGAAAATCACCCTTGTATAAATTTGTATAAATCTTAATAAACAAACACTACGGTACTACGAATTCACCATGTTATGAAATACTGCTGTTTATTTTCGGTCATTTTTAATTCATCGTTCATTTATCATTCTATTTCATGCATTCCCTTATTCGTCACATTTCTTTTAAAATCCTTGTCATTTGTCTTCTCTGATATTTGCAGAAACCCAAGACGTCATCGTCCATCACTTCACTCTGACGTCGCAAACATCCTTTCTGCATTCTCCCTTTCTCTGCATTTCTGCTTTTTTATGAATCATATTTTTCTATTCTTTAATTTTTTCATTTTTTTTTCTATTCGTATAGTCGTTTGTTTACCAACTACTGAGTCTCAATTTTTTTTTATTAATAATCTCTGCATTTTTTATTTTTTTTTGAATCATATTTTTCTAGTCTTTAATTTTTTTCTATTTTTTTTTTCTATTCGTATAGTCGTTTGTTTACCTACTGCTGAGTCTCAAAAATTCTTTTTTTTTATTAATTATCTTCACTGCATTTTTTCAATTTCTTTTTATATATTTATTTAGTCATTTGTATATTTATTATCATATTTGCAGAATAATTACGTCTCAAATATATTTTTATAGCTATCTATGCAGTTAGTGATTTGTTTATATATTATGTTTACAAACTAATGGCGTTTCAGATATTCATTCTGCATATTCCTCTTTCTCTACACTTGTTTCATTTACATTAATATTTCCTTTTCAATTTCTGTATCCGCTTATTTACTAATTGTTTACCGCATTTGTTTCTTCACTTGCTTATATTTATATTTACTGAACACTACTGGCGTCTCTAGTTGCATTCTTTTTTTTCACTGTGCATCATTTTTTGTCAATTCTACCTCTTATTTTGTAATTTCATTTCATTAATTGATTATTCACTAATTAATTCATTTACATTTATCTTATTTCTTCACTTGTTTTTTATCTTCATTTTTACAAAACGCTGACGTCGTAAACCTTATTACATCGTCGTTTTCTCTATATTTCTACCATAATTGACTTTATCTTTTATTTATTCACTGAATGTTTATCAATTTATTAATTCTCCTACGTATTTACCCACTTGTTTATTCAAGTATTCAAACAACCTTAGTGCATTCTCCTTCCTTATTTTACGTCACTTGTTTCTACTCATCCACTGTGTGTCTATTTATCCATCCATCTCTTTGTTTTGTTTACTTGTATATCCACTGTATCTCTTTATCCATTTATTTCTTTGTGTACTCACTTGTTTATCCAGTGTATCTCTTTATCCATCCATCTCTTTGTTGACTCACTTGTTTATCCACTATATCGCTTTATCCATCCACCTCTTTGTTTACTCACTTGTGTATCCACTATATCGCTTTATCCATCCATCTTTGTTTACTCTCTTGTATATCCACTATATCGCTTTATCCATCCATCTCTTTGTTTACTCTCTTGTATATCCACTATATCGCTTTATCCATCCATCTCTTTCTTTGCTCACTTGCATCTCTTTACTCAACCATCTCTTTGTTTACCCATTTATATATCCTCTGTATCTCTTTATCCATCCATCTCCTTAATTACTCACTTCTATATCCACTGTATCTCTTTTATCCATCAATCTCCTGTTTACTCACTTGTATATCCACTGTATCTCTTTACCCATCTCTTTGTTTACTCACTTGCACATCTTTATCCATCCATCTCTTTGTTTACTCACTGGTATCTCTTTATCCATCAATCTCATTTTCCCAATTCCAACAGGACACTCCAAGGTCCTCCAAAGCGCCGCGCTGCCCATCCTCCCAGACTCCACGTGCAGGGCGGACTATGTCTACGGCCCAACGAGACTAACAGAGGGCATGTACTGTGCAGGCTACATGGAGGGTGGAATTGACACGTGCCAGGGTGATTCAGGGGGCCCTATGGTCTGTGTAGTGGATGGTGAGTGTCGTCCGTGTCTCTTTTAGGCTTTGGGTTGAAATGGTGGTTACTTATTGGATATGGTGAGTTGTTGTGTTAGTTGTTGGCTTTATTTTTAAGGAGTTAGACTGATGACCTGTTGTTAGCCTTAATTTGTTAGTGATTAGCTATCAATTATTGGATATGGTGTTATTGTGATAGTTATTAGCTTCATTTTATGGAGTTGGAGGATGACCTGTTATTAGCCTTAATTTGTTAGTGATTAGCTATCAATTATTGGATATGGTGTTATTGTGATAGTTATTAGCTTCATTTTATGGAGTTAGAGTGATGACCTGTTATTAGCTTTAATTTGATAGAGATTAGATATCAAATATAATTTAGTGTTATTGTGGTAATTAGTTATTACCTTTCTCTTATTCAGTAAAACTGATGACCAGATATTAGCCATAATTTGATGAGTTCAGTGATGATTGGTTATTAATAATCCAATGAGATATTTGAATAATTAGTTATTATCCATGATTATTTTTTTAGCCATAATGAAAGTGTCAGAATAGTGATTGATACATGTCATTAGTTCAGACGTTTAATTCATAAGGATTTTATATCAGACTATGCAAAACCTATTAAGTCCGTTCATTCTAATAGGCTCTTGATCAAAATCCCCCCAGTCTGTCATCCGCAATAAAGGTCATATAAACTACAATTACAACAATAATCCTCTCTCCCACAGGTCGTCATACTGTTGTTGGCATCACGAGCTGGGGCCACGGGTGCGCCAGAGCCAATAAACCGGGGGTGTACACTAAACTCACGAAATACCTATCTTGGGTATACTCTAACATGCGCTAATATGATAAATAGTTGTGTATCCTTTGTATTTAGACTTACAAATAAACATAAACACACACAAACACTTGTCGTGAACACACAAGGATTCACCAACATGTAAGACCCCGAAGGAAGAACGAATATCAAAGAAGAAAAGAAAGATGGAAAGAAAGAAAGAAGCAAACAGAAGAAATAAACCACGAGGGAAGAGCTAATGTCAAGGAAAGAAAGAAATAAGAAAAGAAATGAAGAAACAGACAGAAGAAATAAAGCCTTACAAGGGAAGAGCGAATGTCAAGAAAAGAAAGAAAGAAGAAAAGAAAGGAAGAAACAGACAGAAGAAATAAAACCCTACAATGAAAAGAAAGGAAGAAACAGACAGAAGAAATAAAACACCACAGGGAAAAGCGAATGTCAAGGAAAGAAAGAAAGAAGAAAAGAAAGGAAGAAACAGACAGAAGAAATAAAACACCACAGGGAAGAGCAAATGTCAGGGAAAGAAAGAGAGAAAGAAGACAAAAAATCAAACCCCGAGGGGAGAGCGAATGCCAAAGAAAGAAAGGAGAGAAAGAATCAAACAAAAGAAATAAAGAACCGCGAAGCAAGAGCGAATTCCAAAGAAAGAAAGAAAGAAACATGAAAAGAAGCAAAGAAACACAGAATGAAAGACAGAAAGAAGAGAAAGCAAACGAGAAGGACGAGAAACACGGAGAGGCGGATCAGATTCCTCATCACCCTCACGGCAGCAGATAATACAGGGATGATGAGGAACCAAGCGAATAAGAGATGTTAATCTTGCAGAACTTCCAAACCATGAACCAACTGTATTAATTCCTCCCCTTATGATATACCAATTCAGGGGAATAGATCGAGGAAGGTCTCGCATGCAGCTGTTTTTTTTTTCTTTCGCTCTTCCAAAATCAAAATCATAATGACAAGCGATATAAGGGAAATTAAGGATTTAAGGCGCAATTTTGTCTCTTAGATAATGAGGGAATACGTTATGTAAGTTTGGTAACGTATCTCTATCACAAACTGTAAAACTATAGAATTGTTCATCATAAAATAATAAAACAACGTAATTTAAACCCCACCGACATGGACATTAAGTCACCTTTATATTGCATGGATCAAAATATCATGGTGTGAAAAAATGAACATTAGTCTAAACAAAAGTAGAGATTAATTATGACTAATCCCCCTTAAGTGACATCGAAAAACAGGCTTTTAAAGGAGGTATCTGTTTAATCCTCTTATCAACCCTACTCCTAATTTGTAGATACAACCGTTGCTGTACTAAAACTACTATATTTGTTGATATTACAATTCACCACACACACACACACACACACACACACACACAACACACACACACACACACACACACACACACACACACACACACACACACACACACACACTCACACGCACACGCACACGCACACGCACATGCACACACACACACATGTCTCTCTCTCTCTCTCTCTCTCTCTCTCTCTCTCTCTCTCTCTCTCTCTCTCTCTCTCTCTCTCTCTCTCTCTCTCACAGGGAGCAAGAGGAAAGATGAGAAAAGAGAAGAGAAGAGAAATATGAAAATATCGTTAAGCTTAATAGCGTCCACCCCTCCAATTTATAATTATTTTATCATGTCGATTTTTTTCATAAAATGGAACTGTAACACTTTTATCATTGCTTTTATTCCGGCGTCCACGTGGTAAAAAATAAAAACAAAAAATGTAAACCCTTTTTTTCATTACCTTTAGGATTTGCCTTAGCTCTCACATGTACATTTAATGCATGTCATTGTTATTAATAATTCATATACGATTTCATATTTTTAAACACTTTTTGATATTGTATACTTATGATGGTTAAGATTTAGAAGCGTTGTGACCCAACATGGGTGCATGAAGGAAGTGACGTCACAGCCAATTATTAGCAATCTCCTTAAGATGTACTATTCTATTAAACGTACTTTTATATGTCGATATACATAAAATTATAACGAATCACGTATTTATTAAATATTCATTCCTTAAATGTATCTTTTATTTTATCATATATGCAGCATTTTTTCCAGAAATGCCTGTTACATTCCTACTTGCGCATGTGCTGCCATCTACCGGCAAATTTGGCAGTTCTGTTGTCAGTTCTCATTGCTCGTTCCATAAGTTGTTTGTTTACAATGTAACTTGTGTTTTCCGAACTGTTTCCCAATATTCCGGTGAAAACGATCTCTTACCGACATTGTCACGATCTCGGGGATAATACTAAATTCAGTGAAATAAAATAACCGTGTTCCAGCTACAGATCTTCACCAGGGATTCGTCACTTCCCACCACCCTCACTTTCAACCCAAAGGTAAACCCAATTTGTATAATCAAATGTACAGTCAATGGCGATCGGGAGGTGTAGTGGGATGGGTCTGGGGTCTCCGGCTAGGGAAGGACGGCGATCGAGAAGGGGGTCCGCAGGTTAGGAAGGATTTTGGGTCCTACGGCGAGCTTTGTGGGTAGTTTGTGCGAATAGGATAAGGTCCATTGGCTCGTTCGTTCGAGCGCGACGCCGTACCGAATCTTCCGTGGTCGAATCATGGTACGAGTATTTTTCTTTTTTCTTTTATCCGTTTTCTTTACCATATGACATACGATTCTTGGCTCGGGTTTTACATTTTCCACGTTCATTTCCACTTTTCAGAGTACCTCCTATAAGCGAAATCGCCCATTTCCTCCCCCCAAATCCTGGATTCCTCATAGGATCCTCTAAGACTGTTGGTGCGGTCCTGTAAACATTTTCCGGCGTGCTCAGCTACTCAGTTTATTTA